GCCCACACGGAGCGGAGTCCTGCCTCGACGACTGCCCAGGGTATCGCCCCGTACTCCTGGGCCTCATGGCGTCTCCTCGCATCCTCCAGCTGTGCCTCCAGGGTGTCCATCACCTCGGCGTCACCTACGCGCACGCTAGTGACTGCACGGCTGCCGGCCTACGAACACGATCGGTGCAAAGTTGGCTAGACTGAACTTCGTCGCGGTGTCGTCCACGCTCACCGCACCATGCGGAGATAACTGCAGCAACGGGAGCTAGGCTGCGGGCTAGGCACGGGTGCTCGTGTGATCTCTGCGTTCGTTCGTTCCTTGTGGTTTCCTTGTGCGCACACACTTGCTAGTTCACGGGGAAAGTTGGCAAGAGTTCCACTAGGAAAAGTTCAGAACAATGGTTAGCAACAACATTGGCAACACAGACTACATCAAAGCTAGCTAGGCTGCTGGTCGACCTCCAATGCAGCATGGTCGACCGCGCTCCAGCGCAGCAGCGCTCGCACCGCTCCAGCGTTGTAGAGTAGCGGTGCGCCAACATTGCAAGTCCATGGCATGCCAACGCTGCAGCAAGTCGGCTGCACAGCGTTGCACCCGCAGGACAACGGGGCATCTGCTTCGCAGGTGCGTGCAGCTGGTTGGTGCGCTCTTCCTTGTCACGTGCACAGCCCAGACGCCTGGGAGACTCCACGCCAGCGACTGCGCCCACCAGCCACGTCGACCTCGGGATACCACCCCCGAGGTCGGCCTCGCAGACTCCACCCCGGCGACACGCGCGCACGTCGCCCGGGTATCCCGGTCGACCGGGCAACCAAGCCTGGTCGACCAGCGCAGTCCGCAGCCCGGCCACACATGCCCGGCGTCCCCTCTTCAGCATCCAGGCGTCCAGGACGCCGTTCAAACACCCAGGTCGGCGTCCAGCCTCCCAGGACGCCGACCAGACGCCCAGGTCGGCGTCTGGCCTCCCAGGACGCCGTGCAGGCGCCCATGACGTCGACCAGGCGCCCGGGTAGTCGTACTGACGCCCAGGTTGGCGTCCAGCTTCCCAGGACGCCGTCCAGGAGTCCAGGACGCCAACCAGGCGTCCAGGGCGGCGTCCTCCTGCCAGGCGCCCTCCAGCCAGGCGCCCTCCAGCTTGGTGCCCTTGCAGTGGCCCCCGTGCCTACTGCTGTTGGTCGGCTGCATCCCCCGCACGCTCGACCACAAGGTCGGCTCCGCCCAAGCGAGGACGGGGCCACACAACACTCCCGTTGACAGCCATAGCTTTCCTGGATGCCCGCCCCACCAGCCTAGTTCTACAAGCTGACATCAAGAACGCATTCAACAGTATTTCGCGACATGCCATCGCCACTGCGTTACAAGCCCCCGACCTCTCGCCACTACTGCCGCTCGTCAAATTAACCTACGGTAATCCGTCGCAGCTACTCCTGGATGTCAACTTCAACTCCGAACCACTGCATAGCGAACGCGGGGTCCATCAGGGGGACCCACTTGGCCCGCTATTGTTTGCAGTGGGGATACATGCCACGCTTCGCGAAACTGCAGATGCTTACGCCGGTGTGCTCTGTTTGGCATATGCGGACGACGTGACATTCATAGGGGACACCGAAGACACTGTAGCAGCATTTACCCATTTCACGAGCAAATTGTCACTACTGGGGCTCGAGCACAACCCACAGAAGTGTGCAGCCTGGAGCTCGAGTGCAGCCCAAGCAGCCCACCTACCTCCAGGAGTGCCGTTCTCACAGGACAGCGTGCAACTACTAGGCAGCTTCATGGGGCCTGACAGCGGCGCGGCGACTTTTCTAGCAGGACAGCTGGACGACATGGCGAAGCCGCTGACACTCATCGGACGGACGGACCCCCAGGTTGCGGCACTGCTCATCACGCACTGCATTTCGAGGCGTGTCGCATACCTTACAAGGACGACGCCCCTAAACCTCCTCCCCCGCGACAGATGGAGCCAGTGGGGTAGGGACCTGCTCACCACGCTCCTTACCTCCTGCGACATCCGCATGCCGACATGCAGAGTAGAGCAAACACGGGTCTGGGAGCAGGCGTCGTTACCTCCGTTGTTGGGAGGTCTCGGTATCACGAACCCCCTCATCGAGGGGATTTACGGCTTCGCGGCGAGCTTTACCCAGGCGGCGCTCTTTCTCAACAACCTCTCGCTGGGAGAAGAGAATGCGCTTACACTGGCACGGAATCACATGCTCCTGCCACGGGACAGCAGCACGCCACTGCACGCTTGGCTGACGGGGTGTGAGGAGGCACTACCAACAGACGCTCAGGAGATATTGGAAAGGGAGCGGCTGGAACGCACTGACATTCGGCTCCAGCGTGCTCGGATTGAAGGTGCACGGGAGTAGGTACGCGGTGCAGGTGCAAGCGACAAGGCGCATGAGGCTGAATCCGCTCGCCGGACACATGCAGCGGATGTATTCCCTGGCTGGCTACGGCACCGGCGATTGGATCACGGCGGTCCCAGTACCTCCCACGAGGCGGATAGGGCCGGTGCACTTCGCCAATGCGGTGCGCTTCCGCCTTGCCCTGCCGTTCTCAACTCCCAAGAACTGCGATTCCTCGGAGCACACGGCCATCACTGACCCCCGGCTCCCAAACCACCTGCTTCGCTGCGGCACATGCAAGCACCGCACAAACACTCACAACGAGCTGCGGGATGCTTGCGTTAGCATGGCATAGGATGCGGGCTTTATAGTCCATCGGGAGTCGACCGCCTACTGCCCCATCGAGGAACAAACGGTGGATTTCACAATGACGGACAGAAGCAGCGGAGCGGTTTACATATGTGACGTCACTGTCACTGATCCTATAAGCACCAGGGACCCAGAGGCTCAAAAAGGCAGGGGGTGGGCGGCGCGTGAGCAGGCCGACAAGAAGATTAAGCACTATGCCAACCGCCCAGAGACGGTTGGCTTCTTCCCCCTGGCGGTAGACACTTACGGCTGCCCATGCGCGGAGGTACCCGTCTTCCTCAAGCTCCTTGCAGACTCAGCGGCTCGGCGGCACTTCAACGCCGACTCCAAATCTTTCTATGCCGCCAAGTTCTTGCACCAGTTCCGGCATCGTTGGTCAGTGGCCCTGCAACGGGCCCAATCCGTGGGGCTTCTAATGAAGTTGGGCGAGGCGGCGGCGGCAGAGAACCCTCCGGTGGGGGGCATTGGGCATGAGCTGCACCTGGGGGACTGTTTTGCAGTGGTGGAACCACTCCTGGAGCTCTAGGGTGGGGCAGTAGGGTGGTAGCAGAAGAAGCTTAGGTGATGTTTCACTGTGTTTTCATTTGCTTGCTTTATACCTTGCATGTGTGTACTTTCATGCACTATCAATACACGGACCATTAGAGAGAGAGAGAGAGAGAGATGGTTTGGGGCTAGTCCTTAGCCGTTTTTAGACTCTCTAGCCTAGTCCTTAGTCCTTAGCCAGTCTCAGCGGTGTTCCCCTAGTATAAAGCCTCTGGTTCTCTACCCATGGGGCTCATTCTTCATTGGTGAGTTCATTTCACTCTCCAAAACTGGCGGCTCGTTCGAGAGAGAGCGAGAGAGAGAGAGAGAGAGATGGTTTGGGGCTAGTCCTTAGCCGTTTTTAGACTCTCTAGCCTAGTCCTTAGTCCTTAGCCAGTCTCGGCAGTGTTCCCCTAGTATAAAGCCTCTGGTTCTCTGCCCATGGGGCTCATTCTTCATTGGTGAGTTCATTTCACTCTCCAAAACCGGCGGCTCGTTCGAGAGAGAGCGAGAGAGAGAGAGAGAGAGATGGTTTGGGGCTAGTCCTTAGCCGTTTTTAGACTCTCTAGCCTAGTCCTTAGTCCTTAGCCAGTCTCGGCAGTGTTCCCCTAGTATAAAGCCTCTGGTTCTCTGCCCATGGGGCTCATTCTTCATTGGTGAGTTCATTTCACTCTCCAAAACCGGCGGCTCGCGCCGGCCGCCTTCGGCGGCCGCCGCTCGCCAGCGCGGCCTTCGGCCGCGCGTGAGGTGTGACAAGGAGAAGGGAAGGGACAACACTATACCAAGAGCCCATACAACATGAGGCTGGAGCAACAACCACACCAACAACACCCCCAGGCGTGACTACAACGCCATGGGGAAGCCCAGGACCGCGCCAAGTGACAAGCAAGCCGGCAAAGGGAAGGGTGCCGCTACTCGGCAAGGATCCAAAACAGCCGCCCATCTAGCCAGCGCAACAACGAGGCGGCAGCGGGTACAAGATCGCGTGGGGCTCACCGGGCAGAAGCAGCTAGCGAACGAACAGCGGAAGGCCCAGGACCAGAACCTGCACCAGGAGAGCCTTCCACAAGGCCCATCAGTGGGAGCAACGCCTCCAACTCCTTTGATGCCGCCAGCACACTCGCCCGCTCCTTCTGCGACAGCGGCGGGCAAACAACGGAGTTGCGGGCCATGCAAGACTGCAGTTGGTCAAGCGCTGCTGCCACCACACCCAGGGAAGACGCCACGTGCGTTACGCGCCTCTCGACGCGACGAAGCCGCTCAGCGGGCGGCAACTCACCCAACAGACTCCATCGCCCATCAAGAGACCCTCCAGGGCTGGCAGCAGGCGCAGCAGGTGGCGGGGGAGTTGCCAGGAGTTCCGATGGTATCGGAATCTGGCGCACCCCCAGGAAGAGCTGCGGATACGTGTCCTGTGGAGCGGGCTGGACAAAGGGGGGAAGGGGCAGAGCGGACCCTGGAGCATGAGGAGGCCCCGCAGATGGAGCCTGTACCACCGGCGGCACCACGGGGGGTTGTTGCTGAGGGGCCGGCTGAGACAGGTGTGGCGGCAGAGGCGTCGGCGGCCGCTGGGACTGCCGCTGCCGCTGGCGGCGGCTCAGCTTCGCCCGCTGCCATGGATTCTGCGGTACCGCCACCGGCGGAGGAGCAGGAGTGGGCGGAGGAACAGGAGCAGGCGGAGGAGCAGGGACAGGCGGCGGACACGCGGGCTGCTGTGGTACCGATGCCTGTGGCGGCGGCTGCGGCTGAGTCGTGAGAGGAAGAGAGTCAGGCTCCGTCCCCAGCGGCGGCAGCAGTGACAGTGGTGTTTGCGCTTGAGACGACGCCTGGGGGCTCGGAGGGGGCAGGAGATGCTGCGGCGAGGTTGGGACCTGCTGCCGCTGCGGTGCAACATGAGGACCAGGAGGCGGCGGGCGATTCGTCTGACGCTGTGTGCGCCGAAACGACTGCCGCTGCCGAGGGCGCAGAGACGCAGGAGCACGCCCAGGTGGAGAGTGGTACACAGGCCCCTGAGAGCCGCGACGTCGCTCACGCCGCCCGCGACAGGACTGTGAGGATCCGCGCCCGACCAGCACCGCAGCGGCTCGGATCAACGCTTGCGCCTGGTCGCCCGGGACCCCTCCAGGGCTGGCCTCAACAAGGGCAGTCGCCGCAAGGGCAAGGGCAGCGGTTGTCATCTGCACCACAGCAGATTCCAGAGTCAAGCGGGACAAACAACGCGGAAGAAGGTCGTCAGACGCGGCCTACGACAGACAACTTACGGCAAACTCAACAAGCGACGGTACAAGCCCTCCCAGGCCTAAACAGCTCCCACCAGGCACAGGCAGTCCAGCAAGCGACTCACCGTGAGACACGGAGCTCGACGCGGGGCCGATGAATCGTGTGGGGCCGGCCGACAGGAGTGGGACGAGCGGCTGCGACAACCCCCTAGGTCCCGGCCGGCAGGGGTTTAAGGCCAGCACTGGTGAGAGGCGGCGGCGCCGATGGGCCACCAGTGGCGCCACGTGGTGGGAGAGGCGGAAGGGGAGGCACGCGAGGGGGGAGGATCCCGCTGCTGGGGGGAGAAGCCGCGATCGTGAGGTCGGGCACGTGACGGGATCGCCACGACCGTCCAGAGCAGGTGCCTGCGCCAGCCACTGAAGGGGATGTGGGCTCTGACAACTCTCAGAACGGGAGTGATTTTATGCCCTCCGGCTCAGTGGCATCGGAGGAGCTTTCCCTGGGTGACGAAGAAAACCAACATACGTCAACCAGGAGGCAGAGGAGACGGGAGAGAGCAGGTGGTCCACCACCACCCACCGTCGAGGGTGCAGGCCAGGCGGCAGGCGTGCCACCACAGCCATCCGAGAAATCACCCGCTGACCTGGCAAAGGATGACGCCATCTGGCACCTGGCTGGCACTTGGGACACTGCACCACTCCAGCGAATGGACCAACCTTTCCTAGTTCGGCGGTTGCCCCCAAAAATCTTGGAGAGCTACACCCTGTGCCTGTTGGCACCCCTCCTGCGATTGGCTACGAAACCGGACTGCGTGGGGGCCTGGACGGTGCTGCAATATCTACCCCGGTTGACCCTTCGACCCCTGCCGGAGCCAGTGGAGGGGAACCGCTGGATAAAGATCGAGACGAGGCTGCACCACTTCAGGCTCGGGGAATTTGCTGACCTCTACACCGAGGCATGCGCTATACCCGTTACGGAGGCCCCGACACGACACCAACCAGATGACGCTGGGCTGTGTGCAAGAGCGGAGGGGTTGATTAAAAAGGCGAACATTTCCAAGGCAGTGGCCGCGTTACAGGTGACCCCGCTGGCAGAGGCAACACCAACTACACTTGCGGCCCTACAAGCGAAACACCCGATTGGGGGAACTCCAATCCCGAGTTGGGTTACCAGCCGCACAGTCTCGCCGATCTCGACAGTGAGCCTGACCCCTGACGATGTTCGCGAAGTGCTGGCGAAATGTCCGAACGGGGTTGGAGCGGGCCCGTCTGGCACTTGTTTCGAGCATCTGAAAGACCCGGCACATTGCAGCGAGGAGGTTCTCATACTCCTCACTAAGGTCGTCCGCCAGCTAGTCAACAGTGTGCAGACAAAAGAAATACGCGATCTACTCCTACCGTCGCGGCTGATAGCCCTCGAAAAGCCAGGAGGGGGTGTACGTCCTATCGCGATCGGCGAGGCACTACTTAGGGTAGCGGCTAAGGCGGCACTACGAGAGCTAGCACCGGCGATTCGAGAGTTTTTCCTTCCGGTCCAGTTCGGTGTTTCAGTTCCCGGCGGCGCGGAATGCGTCATTCATACAGTACGCGCCCTGCTCCGTGAGAACGAGAACCACATCGCCCTCCAGCTCGATGTTGAGAACGCGTTCAATACAGTCGAGCGGGAGGCCTTCTTCACGGCGCTGCAGCTATCCGATCTCCATCAGCTCCTGCCGTTCGTAGGGACGCTATATGACTCCCCATCGCGGCTCCTGGTCGACCCGGCTATGGGAGTCGACCACATCATCAGCTCCCGTGGGGTGCGTCAGGGGGATCCCCTTGGCCCACTCCTATTTGCAGCGGCGATCCAACCGATCTTGATGTGTGTGGCATCCACTCACCCAGGGGCGGCTGTCATAGCGTACGCTGACGACATCACAGTGGTGGGACTGCAGGAGGAGGTGTTCAGGGCGTTTGACGTCATCGTCACTGAGTTGGCGAAGCGGGGACTTCGATGTAACGTGGCGAAGTCATCGGCATGGGGACCACGGGAGGGAGACGAGGGGCTAGCAGTGCCACCACACGGCCTGTTGATGGGCACGGAGGGAATCACGGTGTTGGGAAGTCCTATCGGCACACGGGAGTACTGCACCACACAGGTTCGGCAGGCGCTCAACAAAGCGTCGGCACCGGTCCCCCTGATCGCGCAACTACACCCACAACACGCCCTGCTCCTACTCACCCGCAGCATCTCACGCAGAATCTCTTACCTGCTCCGCACTACTCCGAGCGGTACGCTGGAACGGGAGGAGTGGAGGGCGTGGAGCGAGTCTCTGCTAGGGGCGGCGCTGACAGCAGCCAAGCTAAGGATCCCCTCGACTGAATTGGAGCAGAGCCTCCTCTGGCGACAAGCGACGCTGCCCGTCCGCCTGGGAGGTCTGAGTATCATCGATCCCCTTTCTGAGGCACCGGCAGCGTATATTGCCTCCCTCACAGCGGCGCACCACCTGCTGCAGCAGATGAACCTGCGGGAGATGGAGCTACTGTCACGGGCAGCAACCCTTCTGTCCAGGGACTGGGTTCCCCCGCCCCCGGAGACGAACGTGCTCGTGACACTAGAGGAGGGTTTGCCGGCAGATGCACAGACGGCACTCCAGGCCTACAGAGCAGGCCCGGCGGGCCAGGGTAACCTGCAGCTGATCTTGTCGAAGCACATCAATGTCACACGTGCACGGGAGCTGCTGGCCGATACCTTGGTCGACAAACCAGGGGAGGACCAGGGACATGGAATCAGGCTGGTTAGCCTGAAGGGGGTGGGGGCTGGAGATTGGCTTCATGCGGTGCCGACGAGATCTGACCTTACATTTGCCCCTGGTCAGTTCTCGCTAGCCCTCGGTTTCCGCCTAGGGATGGCCCTTCCAGTCACAGTCAAGTGCCCCTGTAAGCGTGACAACTCTGAGATTGCGGACAGCAGCCTAGCCAATCACCTGCTCCGTTGTGGTGAGGGGGGGGATGTGGTGAGAACACACAACGCGCTGGTCTATACGGCTCTGAGGTTGGCGAGAGAAGCGGGCTTTAACACATTCCATGAGACGGCGACATTCTCTCCCCCCATCCTTCGCAAGCGGGCGGATCTAGCGTTTCAGGACAGGGAGTCTGCAGAGACCTGGGTCACTGACGTAACAGTGACAGACCCGGTGCTGCAAAAGCGGGACCCACGAGTACGGAAGCCGCCGGGGTGGGCGGCCAGGGAGGCTTCGGAGAAGAAGCACCGCCTGTACGAGGGCCGGCCAGACTACGTGGGGTTCTTTGGCCTAGCAGTTGAGACCTACGGGGCACTAGCAACGGACACGGTGCAGTTCCTACGACTGTTGGCCGTGGCCACAGCGAGGAAGAAGTTCAGACAGGGGCCACTCACAACCACAGCCTCCCGCCTCAACGCGCTCTACCGCCAACGCTGGTCAGTCATGCTGCAGCGCTCTCAGGCCACCTCGTTCCTCAACAAGAGCAACACAGCGGCTGAAGCGGCCTTCCCCCAAGCACCTATGGACCCCTGGGAGCCGAGCCTAGGGGACCTATGGCAGGTGCTCGATGATGACCTTGCAGGGGTGTAAACACAGGGGAGGGTGTAGCAAAGGCGGCAGGGGCGGAGTAGGGCTGGCCGTAGCGAGGGTGTGAGGTGAACATTAGGTGACTTTGCGGTGGCACGAGTTGGTTATGCTGGGTTTGTTTGGTTGTTTGGGCTGTCTTGTGCAGGACGCTGCTTGCTTGCTGGTTTGCTTGCCCACCCCCCATTAGTTTGCTTGCCTAGGCTAGCCTACCAGTCAACACTGTCACTTGCATGCCTGTACCCCTTCAACAATATAAATGCATGACTGCTTGAGAGAGAGAGAGAGAGAGAGAGAGAGAGAGAGAGAGAGAGAGAGAGAGAGAGAGAGAGAGAGAGAGAGAGAGAGAGAGAGAGATCCTGCACTCGCGAATGAAGAGGTCCTCATCCACCTCGCTACGTCCATCTCATACCTCCTTAGTACCTTCCAGACACAAGCCGTCCAGGACCTGCTGTTACCATCGAGACTCATAGCGCTGGAAAAGCCGGGAGGAGGTGTTCGTCCAATAGCGATTGGAGAGGCATTACTGCGGGTTGTGGCGAAAGCGGCCCTCAAGGAACTCTCCCAGAATATCCGCGAGTTTTTTCTACCCGTACAGTTCGGCGTGGCAGTAACGGGCGGCGCGGAGTGCATCGTTCATTCAGTTAGGTCACTGCTGACGGAGGACGAGACTCGTATCGCCCTGCAGATCGACATTGAGAATGCCTTCAATAGTGTTGAACGCGCAGGCTTCTTTACAGCGCTCTCGCAGTCCAGTCTACTCTCGCTACTGCCACTCGTCCGCACGCTCTACGACAAGCCGTCACGCCTACTCGTGGACCATAGACTCGGTGTCGACCATATCGTGAGCGCGCGGGGAGTTAGACAAGGCGATCCGCTAGGACCCCTTCTGTTCGCGGCTGCGATCCAGCCCACTCTGTTAGGCACGGTGACACTGCTTCCCGAGGTAGCAGTCGTCGCGTACGCCGACGACATTGCGATCGTCGGCCCTCGAGATGCTGCCTACGAAGCCTTCAAGAACATCACGAGGGAGCTCGCAACGCTTGGGCTCCGCTGCAACATCGCGAAGTCAACGGGTTGGGCTGCAAATGAAGGGGAAAATGAGATACCACCACCTGAGGGCCTGCCGATGAGCACCTCGGGCATAGGCGTTTTGGGGAGCCCGATAGGCACGGCGGAATTCTGCACCGACAAGGCACAGGAACGCCTCCAGGATGCGGCGGTGCCACTACCTCTGATTGCCCAGCTGCACCCCCAGCACGCCTTGCTCGTCCTCTCAAAGAGCATCTCCCGCAGAATCTCCTACCTGCTTCGTACGACACCGGCGGAGGTACTAGACCGGGAGGAGTGGAGGACTTGGAGCGAGTCCTTGATGGCAACGGCACTAGCGGCGGCCAAGCTACGGGTCCCAGCCAGTGAGCTAGAACAGAGCCTTCTGTGGCGGCAGGGAACGCTACCTGTCAGGCTGGGGGGACTTGGTATCATCGACCCGAACCCAGAAGCACCTGCAGCATACATTGCGTCAGTCACGGCAGCCCAGCAGCTACTTAAACAGATGAACCTTCCGGAGATGTATCTGCTGAGCAGGGCAACGACACTACTGGACCATGGTTGGGTCCCAACCCCTCCTGAGGTCAACCCTCTGACCACTCTTGAGACGACCCTCCCAGCAACGGCGAGAACCGCCTTACAGGCGTACAGGGAGCGGCCGGGAGGACAGGGAAATCTGCAGCTGACGTTGTCGCGCCACATCAACGAGACACGGGCAGCTGAGTTGCTGGCGGACACAATCACAGACCGGCCCGGCACTGACCGCGGCCATGCAGTGCGCCTCATCAGCCTGCAAGGGGTGGGGGCGGGGGACTGGCTACATGCCGTGCCGACGAGATCTGACCTTACATTTGCTCCTGGTCAGTTCTCGTTGGCATTGGGCTTCCGCCTGGGCATGTCTCTGCCGGTCACTGTGAAATGCCCCTGCCTGAGAGGGAACTCCAGCATCACAGACACAAGCCTGGCGAACCACCTCCTACGTTGCGGTTATGGCGGGGATGTGGTCAGAACGCACAATGCGCTGGTGTATGCCGCTCTCAGAATGGCGAGGGAAGCAGATTTCACGTGCTTCCACGAGACGACAGCATTCTCCCCACCGGTAATCAGGAAGAGGGGGGACCTGGCCATCAGGGACAAAGAGTCCAATGAGACTTGGGTGACGGATGTAATGGTGACTGATCCAGTACTGCAGCGGCGAGACACACGGGCGAGGAAACCGCCGGGGTGGGCAGCGAGGGAAGCTTCAGAGTCGAAGCACCGAATTTACGAGGGGCGGCCAGACTATGTAGGCTTCTTTGGACTGGCGGTCGAGACATATGGGGCCCTCTGCACTGACACACAGCAATTCCTTCGCCTCTTGGCCACCTCAGCAGCCAAGAAGAAGTACCGCCAGGGGAAACTGACCACAACAACTGCAAGGCTCACAGCTCACTACAGGCAGCGGTGGTCGGTCATGCTGCAGCGCTCTCAGGCAACTTCCTTCCTGAACAAGTCGAACATTGCAGATGAAGCGGCCTTCCCCCAGGCTGCAAGGGACCCCTGGGAGCCTAGCCTAGGGGATCTTTGGCAGGTGCTGGAGGATGAGATGGAGGAGGAGTGGACTCAGTGAGTAGGAGGAGCTATAGGCTAGCCGGTTAGCCATGGTTCTGCTGCTGTAGGATAGGCCTGTCTGCTTACTTGTCATGTGTGTCATGCCCGGCCTTGCATTGCCTTGCCTGCCTTGCATTGCCTTGCATTGCCTTGCCTGCCTTGCCTTGCCTTGCCTGCCCCCCCCGGCCGTCCTGTCTGTTTGCAGATATCCAGCCCGCTGCATGTACCTGCCTTGCATGTTTAGCTGCTTCAATGCCTAGGCCTGTCTAGCACCTATCCCTGCCTTGCCTGTACCCCTATGAACCTATCAATGAAGGACTGCTTGAGAGAGAGAGAGAGAGAGAGAGAGAGAGAGAGAGAGAGAGAGAGAGAGAGAGAGAGAGAGAGAGAGAGAGTGAGAGAGAGAGAGTGGCCCTAGGAGCTAGTCCTTAGCCCCTCCAGCCCTCTCCATCCTAGTATATAGCTCAGCTTGCTTGCTCACTCTCCTCATTGTTCGGTTCTTCTTCATTAGCTTCTCCTAACCGAGCGGCTCGCGCCGGCCGCCTTCGGCGGCCGACGCTCGCCGGCGCGGCCTTCGGCCGCGCGTGAGGGGACGGCAAGCGAACACCGCGCAAACAACTACACTACTGAGTTGACTTACACACATGGCATCACACATAGAGGCCTAGAATGGCGGGAACAGAGATAGGGGAGCCCGCAACTACATGCGGTGAGCTCCAAGGGCGTGAAGAACGCCCGTCAGGGAGCGCCACAGCTCCCGGACCACAAGCATGCTTGCGCCGATCGCCGCGGCTCCAGATCCTGCGCGCAAATGCCGCTTCAAGCTCCGGACAGCCTCGTCCAGCTGTCCCGCAGCAGCAGCGCCACCCTCCGCGGGCGCAGCCAGCACGGGCGCCAGCAGCACTGCGAGCTGGTCCGCCGCATCCAGGCAGGTCTCGCGCGGACAGTCGCGGAACATCTCAGGAGGGATCACAGGGAGTGAGGAGTGAGCAAGGACTTGTATCAGCAGCAACGCGTGGAGACTCTCTGCGAGGCGGTGGAGCTGACCGAGAGTCGACTCGGGAACACGCGTCTGCGGAGGCTGAAGCGCCTCCGCCAGAAACTGGAGCGGCTCATCAGCTGCATACTGAGCCGCTGCCGCGCCACCACCCGCGGCCACAAACTCCACCCCCGCAACAGGCGGAACCGGCGGCAGATGCAGACGAGAGCCGGGAGCTGGCGCCGCTACAGAAGGAGAGAGAGCTGACGGGGCGAGGACAGGCGGAGGAAGTGCAGCAGCTGGCGGAGGGACCACCAGGGAAGGTCAGGCGAGGAGCCACGTGCGCCGGCGCAGCCCGCAGCGAACTGCTCTGGCTCTGCGCCGCCCTATCCTCGCGCACGGCCCGGGACACCTCCCGCTGAAGATCCGCCATTGTCACGGGCGGACGATACCTCCCGCCGCCTCCACGCCCGTGGGGACCCCTCCAGCCCCCATTGCCACCCGGGTGAGCGGGCCACTGGGCCTGCTGCTGGTAGCGCCGGGGGGAGTTGCGCCGGCGCCGCGACGTCTCGCGCTCTTGTTGGGGCGCTGGAGAATGGGGCCGGGAGAGACGGCGGTCAGGCGACGGGGGACGAGACGGCTCACCAACAGGGACTGCTGGCGGCAGAGCGGGAGCCATCAGGTTCGCGCCGGGAGGCGCAACCATCGGGGCCGGGCCGACAGTGGTGGCGGACGCCGCCTTCGGGGAAGAAGCAGACGCCGGCGCAAGCTCGCCGGGGACAGAAACGACAGGTGCACCAGGAGCGCCAGGGACAGGGACAGGGGGAACAGCAGCTTCCCCAGCAGGAGCAGCCGTCGTCGGCGCCACAACGGGAGCAGGGGGAACAGGAGCGACAGTCGGAGCGGGAGGAGCAACAGCCGGCGCAGACGGCGCAGCCTCGTTCCCGCTGTGGGGACCCGCGGATACGAGGGGAGGAGTCTTTTCAGCGTCTACTGTCACGGGCTTCGGAGCAGACGGCGGCGGGGACCCCGTCGCCATGGTCCCCGCTCCGGAGGCAGGCGACGGCTTTTCGAACACAACCGATGCAGCGCCAGCGCGCATTGGCGAGTAATCGTTCACACCAGCAATCACCATCGCGAGACGGAGGAGCGCGAGGCGGAGGGCGTGAAGCAGCTAGCGGACAAGGAGGAGGGCCGGAGAACGGCTATCAGTCGGAGGCACGAAGGGCTTTAAACAGGCTAGATAATGACGAAGAGGGAACGGACCCCTCTTATAGGGAGGAGCCCATGCCCTCGAGCGAAGATGAAGGGACGGAAGGAGAGGAAGGAGTAAGGGAGAACGGGAGGAGGACGGGAGCAAGACCAAGGCAGTCCCTTGGCGAGCAAAGGGACACCGCTGGTGGACCGTCCGATGCCGATCGTACGGGCGAAATTCCCACCCCACCATCACAAGCGAGGACGGGCCGCACCAGGCGACATCGGGACGCGACAGACACGACGGCGGTGCGAGAAAATCCCAATCTCCCTCGCTATTTCACGCCAGAGGAGCTGGCGATGTGGGCAAGCGGGTTCGCGGACATCGCGAACTGGGATATCCCTGCCCTCTGCGACAGTCGGCAGCCATCTCTGGCACGGCGGTTACCGCCAAACTTGTGCCAGTTGTTTTCGCTGACGCTACTGACCCCGTTACTCCACCTGTCACGAAACCCGGAATCAGAGGCAGGCTGGCGCCTTCTCCTCTTTCTGCCACGTCTGACGCTTCGCCAAAACTCGCCACGGAAACCGAACTGGCCCCAGATCTAGGCCCGGCTCCGAGCCTTCCAGCGTGGCGAGTGGGACCAACTGTACAGGGACGCGATTGAAGCAGTCAACTCACCCGCGCCACCACGTCATCAGCCCGATGCTACCGGGGTCATCAGCCGAGCCGAGGGCCTGGCGAAACGTGGTAGCCTGCGCCGAGCCGTGTTGGCGTTAGAGTCAACGCCAGTCTGCAAACCAACTCCAGAAATTATGGAGGAGCTCCGACTGAAACATCCGCCAGCCGAAACAGGACAAACGACGTGGCCACCCACGCCCGAGTCAAAATTATCCATCACCCACGCTGACTTCGCCAAACTGCTGGGGAGGTGCGAGAACGGGGTCGGTGCCGGACCTTCGGGAACAACTTTCGAGCACATGCGCGACGCGGCAATCACGAACGGGCGAGTCAGCACCCATCTGCACGCATTGGTAAACACCATTTTGGGGGGCAACCTACCAGCACCGGTGGCAGACCTACTGACAGCCTCGCGACTCATAGCCCTGGCCAAACCTGGTGGGGGGGCTCGACCAATCGCGATTGGCGAGTGCATCACTCGGCTGACAGCCAAGGCAGCCCTCGCAGCCACGGGCGATGCTGAACGTGACTATTTCCTGCCTCCACAGTATGGAGTGGCTGTGCCAGGAGGAGCCGAGGCAGTTATCCACGTGGCACGGGCGTATCTGGACAAGCTACCCAGCAGCCTGGTGCTGCAGACCGACATCTCGAATGCATTCAATAGCATATCCCGACAAGCTATCGCGACGGCGTTACACGAACCCGGGCTATCGCCACTAGTGCCGCTGGTGAAACTGACCTATCGTAACCCGTCCAAGTTGCACCTCGACGCAAATTTCGAATGTGACCCGCTGACCAGCGAACGGGGAGTGCGTCAAGGGGACCCACTTGGCCCTTTACTGTTTGCGGCGGGAATACACCCAGCACTTCGCGACACTGCTGAGGCATATCCCCACGTGCTTTGTCTGGCTTACGCCAACGATGTCACATTCCTGGGGAAGGCGGCGGACACTGTAGCCGCATTTAATCACTTCACCGAGAGGTTGGCGCACCTGGGGCTAAGACACAACGCGCAGAAATGCGCAGCCTGGAGCAGGGACGCAGCAGTGAAGGATCAGCTGCCGCAGGGAGTTCCTTTTTCCCACGACGGCGTGCGCTTGCTGGGAAGCTTCGTGGGCCCTGACAGCGGGGCGTCACAGTTCCTGTCGGGTCAGCTACGGGAAATGGCAAATCCCTTGCCACTCCTTGAGAAAGCCGACCCCCAAGTAGCATCGTTATTGCTCACCCGCTGTATCTCGAGGCGGGTGGCATACCTCACCAGAACGACACCGCTTCACCTTCTGCCTCACGACACCTGGAGTCAGTGGGGCACCGATCTGCTTGCAGCGCCACTCACAGCATGCGGCATCCGCGTCCCTACCTGCCGCATTGAACAAGCACGTGTCTGGGCGCAAGCCTCACTGCCGCCGTCCTTGGGAGGGATAGGCATTACCGACCCCCTAATCGAGGGAGCATACGGGTACGCAGCGAGCTTCACACAGGCCGCGCTTTTCCTGGCATCACTAGACGGCGCCCCTGATGGCGCGTTGACGCAGGCTCGGGACCACATGCTGCTGCCTGCAGACGTCGCCACGCCTCTCCACGCATGGCTATCGGAGTGCGAAGCGGCTTTACCGGAAGACGCACGGGAGATCCTGGAGAAAGAGCGGCTGGAGCGATCAGACATCAGGCACCAGCACGCATTGGCACTGAGGGTACATGGGAGCAGATATGCCGCACAGGTCAAGGAGACACGACGGATGGCGCTGAACCCCCTGTGCGGACACACGCAGCGGATGTACTCACTGACCGGTTACGGGACCGGGGATTGGCTGACCGCTATCCCCATTGCGGCCAACAGGAGGATAGGGCCCACTCACTTCTCTAATGCCGTGCGTTTCCGGCTGGCCCTCCCCTTCTCCACACCAAAGAAGTGTGACTGCGCTGACCACATCGCCATCACGGACCCCCGCCTCCCTAACCACCTACTCCGCTGCGGCACGGGCAAGCATCGCATCAACACCCATAACGAGCTGCGCGATGCCTGCATTAGCATGGCCCAAGACGCGGGGTTCATTGTCCACGGCGAGTCGTCGGCGCACTGCCCCATTGAGGAACAGACGGCTGATTTTACAATGACGGACAGAAGCAGTGGGGCCGTCTACGTATGCGACGTCACCATTACCGACCCTATTAGCACTAGGGATCCAGAGGCGCAGAAAGGCAGGGGCTGGGCGGCACGGGAGCAAGCGGACAAGAAGATCCAGCACTACGCCACCCTGCCAGAGACGGTGAAGTTCTTCCCACTTGCGGTGGACACCTACGGCTGCCCCTGCGCGGAGGTGCCAGTCTTCCTGAAGCTCTTGGCGGACACTGCAGCTCGGCGCCACTTCAACGCCGACTCCAAATCGTTCTATGCTGCAAAGTTCCTGCACCAGTTCAGGCAACGCTGGTCGGTGGCCCTGCAAAGGGCCCAATCTGTGGGCCTCCTGCTCAAGCTTGGAGAGGCTGCGGCAGTAGAGAACCCGCCTGTGGGGGGAATTGGGGACGAATTGCACCTTGGGGACTGCTTCGCAGTCATTGAGCCCCTAGTGGAATTGTAGATCTGTGGTGCTTGTGCTTAGCATGTGTGTTACCTACGACTCTATGACTTGCATGCTTGTACTTGCCGACTATATCAATACAAGGACCATTAGAGAGAGAGAGAGAAAGTTCCGCCAGGGGAAGCTGACCACCACCACCGCCCACTACAGGCAGCGCTTCAGTGTGATGCTGCAGCGCTCCCAGGCGACTTCGTTCTTGAACAAGTCAAACCTGGGGGATGTGGCAGCCTTCTCCCAGACCACCAGGGACCCATGGGAGCCGAGCTTGGGGGACCTGTGGCAGGTGCTGGAGGATGACCTGGGCGGATGGTAGAAGCCTGGAGGGGTGTACCGGTGGTACCTGCGGGGATAAGGGAGTGACTGAGAGAGGTGGATGGGTCCTGGGCAGCCTCAGGGGACGGCTGGAGAGGGTGAGGGTGAGGGTGAGGGTAAGCGGGGAATATGGAGACACAGGGCTGTTGGGGTAGACTAAGGGACAGGTTGACCAAACAGATGGTATATGGCTGGTGTACTGTGACGCTGGCCCTACCTTGTTAGCCTTTGTTAGCCTTTGTTTGCATGCTTGCCTGCTTGGTTGCCTGATTGCCTGCACTCTGTGCTGCCTTGCTTGGTTGTGTGTACTCCTAGGATAGACCACGTGCCAGAACCTGCCCCCGCCTTGCCTGTACCTTATAAGCATATCAATGAAGGACTGCTTGAGAGAGAGAGAGATAGAGAGAGAGAGAGAGAGAGAGAGAGAGAGAGAGAGAGAGAGAGAGAGAGAGAGAGAGAGAGAGAGAGAGAGAGAGAGAGAGAGAGAGAGAGAGAGGGCCTTGGGCACTGGTCCTTAGCCGTTTTTAGCCTAGATTCTTAGCCTAGTTTCTTAGCCTAGTCTTAGTCCTTAGCAGTTTTTAGCCCAGTTTCTTAGTATATAAGCCCTAGGCCTCTCTCCCATCCTCATTGTTTGTGGGTGGAGTTCTTTCTCTCCAAAAAATCGGTGAGTTATATAAGAGGTCATCCTCATTATTTTCTGGTGAGTTCAATCTACTCTCCAAAAATCGGTGGCTTTCGTTCGAGAGAGCGAGAGAGAGAGAGAGAGAGAGAGAGAGAGAGAGAGAGAGAGAGAGAGAGAGAGAGAGAGAGAGAGAGGGCCTTGGGCTCTGGTCCTTAGCCGTTTTTAGCCTAGATTCTTAGCCTAGTTTCTTAGCCTAGTCTTAGTCCTTAGCCGTTTTTAGCCCAGTTTCTTAGTATATAAGCCCTAGGCCTCTCTCCCATCCTCATTGTTTGTGGGTGGAGTTCTTTCTCTCCAAAAAATCGGTGAGTTATATAAGAGGTCATCCTCATTATTTTCTGGTGAGTTCAATCTACTCTCCAAAAATCGGTGGCTTTCGTTCGAGAGAGCGAGAGAGAGAGAGAGAGAGAGAGAGAGAGAGAGAGAGAGAGAGAGAGAGAGAGAGAGAGAGTGAGAGAGAGAGAGAGAGAGAGAGAGGGCCTTGGGCTCTGGTCCTTAGCCGTTTTTAGCCTAGATTCTTAGCCTAGTTTCTTAGCCTAGTCTTAGTCCTTAGCCGTTTTTAGCCCAGTTTCTTAGTATATAAGCCCTAGGCCTCTCTCCCATCCTCATTGTTTGTGGGTGGAGTTCTTTCTCTCCAAAAAATCGGTGAGTTATATAAGAGGTCATCCTCATTATTTTCTGGTGAGTTCAATCTACTCTCCAAAAATCGGTGGCTTTCGTTCGAGAGAGCGAGAGAGAGAGAGAGAGAGAGAGAGAGAGAGAGAGAGAGAGAGAGAGAGAGAGAGAGAGAGAGAGAGAGAGAGAGAGAGAGGGCCTTGGGCTCTGGTCCTTAGCCGTTTTTAGCCTAGATTCTTAGCCTAGTTTCTTAGCCTAGTCTTAGTCCTTAGCCGTTTTTAGCCCAGTTTCTTAGTATATAAGCCCTAGGCCTCTCTCCCATCCTCATTGTTTGTGGGTGGAGTTCTTTCTCTCCAAAAAATCGGTGAGTTATATAAGAGGTCATCCTCATTATTTTCTGGTGAGTTCAATCTACTCTCCAAAAATCGGTGGCTTTCGTTCGAGAGAGCGAGAGAGAGAGAGAGAGAGAGAGAGAGAGAGAGAGAGAGAGAGAGAGAGAGAGAGAGAGAGAGTGAGAGAGAGAGAGAGAGAGAGAGAGGGCCTTGGGCTCTGGTCCTTAGCCGTTTTTAGCCTAGATTCTTAGCCTAGTTTCTTAGCCTAGTCTTAGTCCTTAGCCGTTTTTAGCCCAGTTTCTTAGTATATAAGCCCTAGGCCTCTCTCCCATCCTCATTGTTTGTGGGTGGAGTTCTTTCTCTCCAAAAAATCGGTGAGTTATATAAGAGGTCATCCTCATTATTTTCTGGTGAGTTCAATCTACTCTCCAAAAATCGGTGGCTTTCGTTCGAGAGAGCGAGAGAGAGAGAGAGAGAGAGAGAGAGAGAGAGAGAGAGAGAGAGAGAGAGAGAGAGAGAGAGAGAGAGAGAGAGAGAGGGCCTTGGGCTCTGGTCCTTAGCCGTTTTTAGCCTAGATTCTTAGCCTAGTTTCTTAGCCTAGTCTTAGTCCTTAGGCTAAGGAACAAGGCGGACGTTGCAATTCTCAGAGACACGCGTATTCGGGCAGACAACAATTTCTGGATTCAAATGAAGCCGTCCGCGGTGTTGGCCATGGGGCCAGCCGGGTCGGCAGGAGGAGTAGCAGTATTGAGCTTTGTGCCTGGGATGAACTTCACGGACACGTACACACACTCATCAGGAAGGCTGGTGGGGGTGGTGATCCGCTGGGGTGATCTGGAGCTGCTCCTGATTGCGACGTACTTACCGGCGCAACTGGAGAACAGAGACTGCCTGGAGCCTGGTGGAGGTGCGGCATGCAGACATTACAAACAAAATGACAGATCACTGGAGCGCGGTGATGGTTGCGCTGGAGTTGTCGGCGGCGATCGATAGGAGGCCCGGCATCTTGCGTTTAAGAGCTGCACAAGCGAAAAAGAGAGGGGTCAGGAATTGGGTGAAGCACGTGCTCAAAGATCCGGGCGGAGACCTTGATGTGCTGCTGGCCAGGCTGAAAGAAAGAGAGTCGGGGCGACCAAAAAACACATGGAGAAGGAGGTGAGGATCTTCCGGCAGCGGCTGTCGCAGAACCCGAGTTGTCAGCGGACGGGTGCAATCCTGCTTAATAAAGAGGAGTTACTTTACGCGTATGAAAGAAGCCATCAAGAGAAGCTACAAGAGTAGCTCGGGGTGAAGGTGGAGCCGGACGGGGAGACGACGGCCGGCTTTCTATCCGGGAAGATAAAAGTGCGAAAGGCCAAGACGGAGATGAAGGCTGTTCACTTCAAGGGTAGCACTCACACGGGTGCAAGAGAGATGCTCGCGGCGGCGACTGAGTTCTTAAGAGATTCCTTCGGCGGCGGCGGCAGACGGGCCCTCACGAGACGGAGCCGAGGATTATGCGCCGGACTTTGTGTAACGCCAGCCATAGTTCCCTCAGCGCGCCATGGTCGGAGGAGGAAGTTCGGACAGTGGTGCGCGAGCTAGCTCCAGAAAATTCACCTGGTCATGACGGCCTTCCCAAGGAGCTATTCGAGCAGAACTGGGACTTGCTCGGCCTAGTTCTGATACTGTTCGTTGGTGATTTCACGCGAACGGCGGCGCTTCCCCGTGACATCTCAACCGCGATCACTATCCTGCTGCATAAGAAGGGGAGCAAGGAGGAGTTAGGGAATTACAGGCCGATCACGCTGCTAAGTACGGTCTACAAGATACTGGAGTCAGGCATGCCAGAGCCTCTCTTCCAGGCTGTGGAGGGTATTGTTATGGCGGGGGATGGGGTCAGCGCATGCATGAGAGAGACCTACCACTTTCGGGTATGTGCCATGTGAGGGTATATGGCATGCGAGTAGAGTTGCCTTATACGTGTATGTGCCGTGTGCTAGCCATGCGACACTGGCATGGCATGAGGCTGGTATAGACAGCTTGGCAGCCAAAAACGGACATACCATTTAGAGGGGTGCAGAGAGGTGTAGTGAGCTGTTATCGTCACGTCCTTCTTTAGGAACTTCTCTTCTGCACCCGTTTGTCCTATGTTGCCAATCCGTCACAGGTACAAGACACAGAGCAGGTTGACACGGAGTACAAGCTGATCTGCAAGCCTGATCCGGATGGCTCAGGGGTTATCCTCGTTAAGGTATGCTTGATATGTTGTGTTTACTGCTCATACGAGTTTGGCAATCCTTTTTCTAGACTTTAGTGGATGCATTCCCTATCTTTGATTTCCCAGTGAATGCATTCTTTTCCATCCCATACTCACTGCATGCTTCCTCCCCTCTGCCCATCCATCCCACGCCTGCACTGCACTGCCTGGCAAACTCCCCACAGGTGAAGCACAACCCGCTGCGCTATGCGGTCATCGACGTCTCTCGCCCCTCCAAAGCCATTGACTTCCGCCTCATGCTCTCCACCGACACGCGCCTTTGTGCTCTTGATGTAAGTGTGAGACATGTGTATGTGCCTCTGCCACGTGTGCCTCTGCCACCCTTCGCACTCCCTTCACCTCCCCTCGTTTATGACCAGGATGCCACTCAGTCAGCCTGTGAGCGCATAGCATCAAGGAGAGCTCAAAAGGCGGCCTGCACTGGCCCATTTCACTCGATTTTGACGTCGGAATGAAGGACCCGCGCTCACCATCCCATGCACCACCATCAGCACCCTCACACCGCTCATTCCCTCCCCAATCTTTTTCTACTTCCCATCCCTTTCTCCGACCCTTCCCCGTCACACAGGAGGCTACCCGATCAGTATGTGAGCGCATAGCATCGACTGCAATCATCGAGGAAGGCTCAAAAGGCGGCCTGCACTGGCCTATCACCCTCGACTTTGACATGGGCATGAAGAACCCGCGCTCACCATCCCATGCACCAGCAGCAGCAGCAGCAGCGCCAGCACAGTGGTTCAGAGTGAAGAGTGTGCGGCATCAGAAGCGGCTCAAGGTGTTTGGGGGCGGGCAGGTGTGGAAGCTGTCGCGAGTGAACGGGGTGGAGTATGACCATGGGGGAGGGCGACTCACGAATGAAGCAGAGTTCTGCCTGCTTGCGTGGAGAGACGTCATGAAGGTTAGTGAGTGAGACTCACTTTTGCATGAATCTGTGCATGTATGTGTGTGCATTAGAGGGTGCACGCATGCAGGCAGGTGTGGAAGCTGTCGCGAGTGAACAGGGTGGAGTATGACCATGGGGGAGGGCACCTCACCAACGAAGCAGAGTTTGCCTGCTGGCCTGGCGAGACGTCATGAAGGTTAGTGAGATGCCTGGTGTGCTTCTGAGTGTGAGTGTGCACGTGTGCGTGTAGGTGTGTGTATGTGTGCTTATGGTGCCTCACCAACGATGCAGAGTTCTGTCTGCTGGCCTGGCGAGACGTCATGAAGGTGAGTGAGACGCTAGTGCGTCTGTGTGCGTGCATGTGTTGTGCATGGGTGCGTCTGTGCTTAGAATGGGCGTTGCTGACGAAGCGTAGTTTTGCCTGTTGCTGTGGGATGCTCCTGGGTTTGTTGTGCAATGGGATTATAAATTTCGTTTTACTGTTTTCCTTCCGACTCGTACATCTCAATTGATGCAGGCAAAACAGGGTGGAAATGACGGCACAGCTGTTGCTTCTTCTCCTTCTCCTCTACCTAACGAGCCTTCACCCAAAGTCTACTCCGCGGAATCTTGCTTTGACTCGAGCTTGCAGCAGGCAGCACCACAGTGGACTCCAGACACCATTCTTGCTGATTGCCCTGCCCTCATTAACTGGCTGCAGGAGCACTTGCCATAGGGAACAACAGCTCGAGCATGTTATCAGCTAAGACTCAATAATAGGCATAAGTTTCTTATTGTATGCCTTTGAAAATACCTTCCAGGACTAGGTTTTACACCAATCAGCGCAAGCTGTAACTCTTTTTTCAAGTTCCTCGTATTTGCTCACTGCTTGTATCGGATCTGAATATACGAGGGCCACAAGCTTCATTCAACGCTTAGAATTCTTCAGCCCACCTCGTGATTGCTCAAGTGCCAGCAATTCCCTGAGCCACCACAGCAGAATTCGTGGTAGCTTTTGGTTAGTTCCAACTTTCGTTAGTTCAAGGGATGGCTGCAGCAGGAAGCCATGGCTGTACGCTCGTGTCCAAGAACCTGTGTAGCTAAACGGCGGATCGCTTTAGCCTCATGGAACTTTTTTCTTCCAGCTGACGCTCCAAAATGCGTGCGTTACCCCAGGCTGAGACATCTGTCAGGGGTTAAAAAACTTAAATTCCTTCGGTTAGAGAAATTCCTGACGGAATATTTTCTATGTTATGGCACTCTATGAGTCCTATAGGCAGCGATTCAAGCTATCAGCGAGAAGCGGCGGTCCGCTCACTCATTCCCCTGACGCCAGAATTCTAACACTCGTGGATGATTACGACGACAGGCAGTCCGATAGCGCGAACCTCGCTCCAGATGGGCGAATTTCGCTGTTTTTCGAGCAGTTCGGTTGCGAAAGTTACCCATATCTTCGCAAACGTCGTCTCGCGATGCTGTCCAAGGCACCAATTCGAGGCACTCTGGAAGACTGGCTTGCTAATAGCGATAGATTCGCGGGTAAATGGGAGAACGATCCGAAAAGTGACGTCATAAGGATGTTTCATGGCGATATCAACGAGGACCGTGATGGGGTTGCTACCGGAGCGACAAATAACGGGTACAACGGCGAGGTTCTCTCGCGTTTGAATGACACCGACGGTGGGGATTGTAGCAGGAAATGCGCAGACAGCGGAAATAGCTCACGGGAGACGAGATTGTTGAATGCGATTCAGCTGCCTCTGACAGAAGCTCTAGATTTGGTCCGTGAGAAATTGCAGCGCCATGCTGTGACAGCAGAGAGTGCTGCTGCTGAGAATGGATTCAGGAGGGTCGAGCTCCTGGTCCGGCTTGGCAAGCTGCTCTTCTCGGCCCATGGCAACAGGTACTGTACGTGCATAGAGATTGTGCTGAACCTGTAGTGAAAGTGTGTACTGAAGGTGTACCAAATGTGTGCTGAAGTGTGTTGAGTGTGCAGGGATAAGGAAGGTTAGCTACCGACGGTGTGGATATACTGATACACTGAATGTCTGCTGCATCTGTGCTGAATAGGTGCTGAGTGAAGGTGTCCTGAGCTAGTGCTTGCATTCCGATGCACTAAAAAGCTGTCTGGTCTGATGTGTTGCATATGACGCCAGGATCATGATTCAAATGTTCGCCTGACTCCCTTCTCCATCTCATTTTTTCCTGCCAGAAATCGACTGACCAAGGTTCCACCCTTCTCTGCACAACGACTAGAGGGCTACATGAACGGAAGCGAGCAGCAGTTGAAGCTGCCGATTCACAGGGTGTTTGAGACGCACGTCCCTGACAGCGTCTATGGCAGACTGGAGGAGATGGTTATGAAAGATTCAAGTCGGGTTTGCAAGAGTAGTGAGAAATACGACATTCAGGTGAAAATTAATATCCCACGGTTGATTTTTTCTGCAGATGAATTTATGTAGTCAGAGTAAAATGTCAATCAATCTGTGTGCTGAATACTCATGTGATTTGTATATTTCAGGTACTTGATACCTGGTCGCGAGTAATCTACAGGGCAAGCTGTTTATATGATGCTGAAGAGAAATGTTTCCTTATTAAAAAGGTGAGATCGGCTAATCTGAAAGGATTGATTTCGAGAGCACAGAGGTTGAAGGACATGCGTGTTATGACAGCTGCAGCCAGAAAAACAAAGCACCTTCTGCATTTATTTGGAACTGAATTGACCTCAGACGCATTGGAGAAACGTTCAGGTGCTATTAAAAAAACTGAAGCCTGTGCCTCTGATTTCAGGTGAAGAAGTTTCCGGTTCGCTATGGGGTTTTTGAAATCGCACGGCCTGGCAAAGCCGTGGATGCCCGTTTGATCCTGACCGTTGAGACACATTTGCCAACTCTAGACGTGAGTGCCCCACACATGCATGCATTCACGGGAATGATGATGAGAAGGGGTCCCCAGCATACTGTTATGTACTGCTATTGTGTCCTGCTAATATTTTATAGCATAACCTGTCAGCTGTCATGTATAAAAATAGTGATCGGTAATAATGAATCCGTACCCATTTCCGCCTTCCTCCAGGAAACAGTCAGAGCTGCATTCCGCAAGGTCCTGGAAGCAGCGCAGATTGACCCACAGAGGCCGGGAGGGGTGCACATTCCAGAGCACATGATTGAAGGCCACAATGGCTTTGACGTTACCGGCATGGAATGTGATTCCAACAGCAGTGCCTCTGCAGATAGCAGCAGAATTTCTAGTGCTCACAATGTCAACACGGTAGGTTCTGATGTCAGCAGCAGATTCTCAGCCAATAGAACTGTAAATTCCGGTGGTGGGAGCAGCAGCAGTGAAGAGAGCGGGAGGTTCCAAGTGCGAGCTGTCAGGCAATTAACTGTGAGGAAAGTGCAGGCAGAAGGGAGGCTGTGGAGATTCTCCTGTGTGGATGGGATCGAGTACAAGCAGGGAGGCGGGCGGAAAACGAACATAGTGGAGGTCTGCCCAACAGTGTGGCAGCAGCAGCTTAAGGTAATGAACACAGGCACATACATATTACAGGGTATGTCCGTCATTGTCTCCCCCGGTATGCCCCATCTGCTCGGCATGCAGAACAGGTCATGAGGGTATGCTCCCATCTTGTTTCACCCTTGCTGTGTCTCATTTGGCTCGTGATTCATTCAACATAGCTCACATGTGCCAGCATGTGCCATTCCATCTTCTCTTGGCTGTTCTCCCGTCCCCTAACGAGGTGGACAGTGGGGAGCTTGGCTTCTCTAGGGAGCAGTAGCAAACCCACGGAGCAAATCAATACGGAGTGCCCTGCATTTCTCGCATTCTCTCTTGCTTGGTCCCCCATCTCCTAACCAGGGAGACGCTTGGGAGCGTGGTTGCTCCATGGAGCAACAGCAGCACCCCACATGGACCTCAGAGCACGTCATTACGAAGTGCCCTGCGCTGCTCTCAAGTTGTCTTGCTTGCTCTCCCATCCCCTGTGCAGGGTGACAGTGGGCAGCCTGACTCTTTCAGCCACCAGCAGCAGCACCCCACATGGACCACAGAGCACATCATTACGGGGTGCCATGCGCTGCTCTCATCTTGTCTTGTTTGTTCTCCCATCCTGTATGCAGGGTGACAGTGGGCCACCTGACTCTTCCGGCCAGCAGCAGCAGCACCCCACGTGGACCTCAGAGCACATCATTTCAGAGTGCCCTGCGCTGCTTGCATGGCTAGCTCGGAATTTGCCGTGAACAATCCACCCACCCAGTAGTGCAGTATGTCTTAACACTGTTTTGAGTCCGTCCTGTCTGCCTTTGGAAGGCAGGCTTTCTCTAAAAAGGATAGCTACAACTTGTAACACTGTACAGCTACACTTGCTTGCCATATGTACATCCAAGAACTAGCAACACTGTACAGCTACACTTGCCATATGTACATCCAAGAACTAGTAACACTGAACAGCTACACTTCCTTGCCATATGTACATCCAAGAACAAGCTGGAGCAGCAGTTGCATCATTTCAAGACCAATCAGAGAAGCCCCAAATCCCTGAGCTGCCTCTCATGTTCCGGCAGCAGTGGCGGTGGCGACCAATCAGGAGGGAGGGTCATTCCAGACAAATCCTCCACGATATATTCCTGGGGAGGGTATGGAACGGATGTGGAGAAGGGAGGAGGGGAACAAGGAGGACGAGGAAGAACCACAGGTGGAAAACTACAGCCAAATCCTCCACAATGAATTCCTGGAGGGGTATGCTTGGAAAGAAAGGAGGAGGCAGGCCCCAAAATGTCAGGGTATTTTACCCTGATTGCCCTGACTGGCGGCCGCTTTTTTTTGAAGTACCCTGACGCAGTCAGACTCCCAGGCTTTAAACACTGACTGGAAATTTGTTTGAATTTTTTTACCCTTATAGAATCAAAGTTCGCGTTTCGTTCCCCTGACTTCATCAGTGTTCTTTCCCACTTACCCTGATACCGAGTTCCTCGAAGCGAGGATTCTGCTACACTACACATACACTGCACCTGTGACGCGGTGCCACTCTCCCATCTTGTCGCACCCGC